AAAGAAAAAAATCTGTAATAGCATTTCATTACAGTGTGTGAAAAAGGTCCATTATGTTCCATAGAAGACAAAGTCATACAGGATTGGAACGGAGTAAATGATGACATAATTTTCATTTGTGGGTAGACTATCCTTTTGATGACAATTAAAAAAAAATGTACAAATTATTACTCAAAGAAAATAAGGCACACAACTTGCAGTTAGTTCTTTAAATAGCTGGCAAAATTGTATCTGTCACTGCATCACAGTAGTACCATGATATTTTCTAAAGTACCATGTAAATATCATGGTACTGCATACGAGCACAGTAATCATTCAGTATATGATTCAAATGTTTGGACACATTTGACTCAAAAGTGCATAGACAAGCATAAACAGTGTCTTAGTTTCTTTACCTTAAAGGGATAGTTCACCCAAAAAATAAAAATTCTGTCATTAATTACTCGCCCTCATGTCATTCCAAACCTGTAAGACCTTCGTTCATCTTCAGAACACAAATTAAGATAGTTTTGATGAAATCTGAGAGCTTTCTGACCCTCCCATAGACAGCAACATAACTACCACGTTCAAAGCCCAGAAAGGTAGTAAGGACATTGTTTAAATAGTCCATGTGACGTCAGTTGTTCAACCTCAGTTTTATAAAGCTACGAGAATATATTTTGTGCGCAAAGAAAACTAAAATAACGACTTTATTCAACGATTCTTCTCTTCTATGTTGAGGTTGAACCATTGATGTCACATGGACTATTTTAAAGGGGTCATAGGATGCTACATGCACTTTTACAAGTTGTTTGAACAGACCTATGACCCCTTTAACAATGTCCTTACTACCTTTCTTGAACGTGGTAGTTGCGTTGCTCTCTATGGAGGGTCAAAAAGATCTCGGATTTCATCAAAACTATCTTAATTTGTGTTCTGAAAGTGAACTAAGGTCTTTGGAATGATATGAGGGTGAGTAATGACAGAATTTTCATTTTTGGGTGGAAAAATGTTTTTGGCTTTAAGCATTCTTTATTGATACAACCTTTTTAATGTCAGCTTTGTAACATCTCTATGTTTGTGCATCAGTATGGCATTAAGAAGCGCGAGGTGGCCGAAGCAGAGGCGCAGGCGGCGATGGAGCAGGCGAGCGAAGGCAGTCTGACCCGTCCAAAGAAAGCAGTACCATCCGGCTGTGGAGATGACGACGAGGAGGAAAACATCATGGACACGATGATGAAGTATCTACCGGGCCCGCTGCAGGACATGCTGAAGAAGTAATTCCCGAAATAATCTCAAGCACACGCAGCTTTAGATATTATTTTAACGTGTACTGACTTCGGCGAGAAGAGAGCACACTAGACAAAACACCGACTACATTTACCTTTCACATATTTCAATTCGCGAGGAGCTTTAGATATTAGTGACAGATCAATCAATCAAGCAAGAGGGGTTAATTATCAGAATATAAGCCATATTTTATCTTTACAGGGAAACCTGAATCACATCATCTCTTCGGCAGTTATTTCTTATTCAATACGTAAACAGCAATATATATGCATGAATTGTTCCGAGTGTCTATTCCACTGTTTTGTATCACCAATCGATAAGGTTTTCCACGTTCATTTAGCGGTCGATATGAGGAAAAAGTACTTGGTTGAAGACATTCTGGTCTTGCATGTGTCCATAGTGTTTATGTGCTCACTGACATCTTGTTTTTGTCAGCAGAGATTGCAATCAGATAAAGGAGGCAATAACATTCTCCCACGCTGTAAGCTAAATGACAACTACTTTGTACGTTTGTCACTACGCCATTTAGTTCATTCTGGCGAATCTTGTCCCACTTGCACTGTAGTTTCATCAGTCTGGAACATTTAATGCCTCAATTCAGTTTAACAGTGTTGTCGAGACTGCGTTCTCGCACCGTTTTTGTGCTTTACGACAGATTCTGAATTTACGAAGATTTCTGATTTTAAGATTGAAACTCAGTTTCACTGGGACGCTCTGTGTGTTTCGAATGGACTGTAATTTCTCTGGTCTAGAGCAAGGGGGAATTCTCATCTGTGATCTACAACATTCTCAGCAATAATAACGTATTCTGTTTGCTTGGCTTGCAGTAAAACGAAATAAAATCGCAAGAGTGTATGAATGGCTCTGATGATATAAAAAAAAAGTGATATGTCTGTCTTAAGATCTGTTGGGTATATGGCATTGTAATAAACCAATCACACATACCTAGTTTTGGTGTTTCAATACTAAAAAATAGCGATTAACGGAATTTGCAATATTCTAAAAGAAAATGTGTAGTTAACATGATTTATGTTGTGTAATATTATACCTGCAGATTTTATGAACTTAAGTTGATAGTAATACTGTTCAGCAGAGTATTACTCTTACTATAACTTAACCATTAGGCAAAGGTAGGCGACCGCCTTGGGCCCCCAAAAGCCAAGGGCCCCCTAAAATGCTTTTTATATGCGAGATGCGCGTTCAGTGCGGACGCACAAGTGGTTGCTGTGGTGTTCATTACCACGACAAACGTCTGTGCGTCCACGTTGAACGTGCTGCTTAGCAAAAGTAGGGCGATGTAGTAAATGGGGACAGAATCCCGGAATCTATTCATAAAAACTGAATTTACTGTGTAACGCAGGAATGTGACGGAATGAACGGCGCAGACGCGTGTTTCGTTTGCTAGTTTACTATTTAAGCACGCGCAACGCTCGCGGTTGTCGTCTGTAGTAGCTAAATAGTATTTTTGCCATTTAATATTCACATACACTAGTCCATATCGCGGTTTGATTGAAGTGTACTGAATTGCATTTGAGAAAAAAAAACTGAATCCAGACAAATTAAAACGGAAAAAAAGATTTAGGAAAAAATAAAACTTAGGCTAATTTGGGAAAAATAAAACGGATTTCATAGGGCCCTACAAATATCATGCATCTGAAGCTATAATTTTAATACTAAGCAACAGTGCATATTATATAGGGCCTATTTTAATTTTTTTAAACGGCGCTCACTCGTTTTTGTGAAAGACCCAAGAAGGATAAATGAATACTTTCATTCAGCTATGATCCATGAAATTGATCAAACAAATTCTCATGTTATTTCACTTTCCCACATTAAAAAAGTGGAAGACTGATAACGTTACAAAAAATTCATTTGCATTTAGCATTTTCGATTCATCAAAAAATCCTGGGGAAAATGAATGTATCATGTATTCCACAAAAAAATTAACTTTACCATCACAGGAATAAATGTAAATATTTTAAAATAGAAAATAGTTATTTTCATTTGTATTAATATTTTACAGTATTACTGTATTTTTCTACAAATGAATACAGCCTTGGTGAGCATAAAATTCATGAAAATCTTTCAATAATATTCAGTAATAAACAGTAGTGTATACTTGCATGTTAACAATTGATTTGTCACTGCAGTAAACTAAAAATCAGAATTTAACCAGCAATTTCATAGCCTCTAGTATATAGTGTCTATTAAACATTTATATACGTTTTAGATTAAACTTCTGAAGAAAATACAAAGCCATGTTACACATTTAAAGTCTACATATTCTTGGTATTACGCAGCCACTATTAAAAAAAACAGACCATAAAGTGGCACTGTTGATCATTCTAAAACATTTTAATCTTCTGCATATAAATATTTAAATAGTATTCCTGATGCAAAGCTATTAATGTGGTTTAAAAGGTTTCTGCTGAGGGCAACATTTCCACACAACGTTTTCAGTTTTTATTAACTCAGTAAACCACATACAGCAAGGTGCACTAACAAAATGTACATGTGTGCACCAGCCCAGGCACTCTATGGCAATGATTATGGGCCTGCGTCCAAACACAGGACAAGACAATCAACAGTCAATTTTCCCTTTTTGGTTTTGAACAAGACGACGACCCCAAAAGTCCTATAAATGCTCTGTCCTTTAAACAGTAGAAAATGTTTACATCCATAAAACATACTGACTTTTACTATGCTGGAACAGTGTGAAGAGAGTAAGGCCTGATCACGGGCAACAAATATCTGAGAAACACACACACCCTGCTAAATCACTGCACATCAAAAAGAAATAATTTTTAGCAAAATAATTGTATTGTTCAAATCATTCAGTGCAATTTTAAGTATACATTCCTGTACAAGAGCTCAACAGTGCGAACATTTCATTCGCAACTTTCATTGCAACTAAAAATAGATGTGTGCAAACTGTAAAATGAATTTAGAAGCATATCTTAATCATTTAAGGTCTTAAATTTGGGGATGAAAACCTGAAATCACGATACAGCCTAATGTTTTCAGGAAGGAAAAACTGCAAACATTATTTAACACATATAGACTTTACTTGTATAAGCACAATAATCTGTTTATAACAATATATATAATTATAAAATACAGTTTGAATCTGAAATAATTAAAGACCTAGTGTACTTTTTGTACAAAGACATTCTTACACTTTCTCAGACAACCTCTATGCTAGACATTGAGCAATCCTTACTGCATTTGTAGAAAGATAGAAACGTAAAATTGCAATTAAAGGAATAGTTCACTCATTTCAAAGAGTAGTTTTTATAGGATTCAAAAAAGATTTGGAATATAGAGTACAAGTCAAATGGACTACTTTTATGGTGCTTTTTGCAGCTCAGTCACTTTTATTGAAACATTCGGGTAATTTTTTTCTTTTGCACTGCATAGAAGGAAGTCAAATGTTTAAAAAAAGACACCAAATGTAAACATTTTGGGTGAACTACTCCTTTTTAAAGAAAAAGCTTTGCATGCACAGCTAGCCGGAGGACATTTTCTATAATATTTTAGTAGAGTTGGCATCAGAATGCTCTCTTAATGCAGAAGAAAGTAAAGACTAAACCTTAAAACCTGAAGAAAACATTAGACAGCCAAACAAACAAACTGAGAAACAACCAGATAACGGAGAGAGACCGGTTTTGAATTCACTTTGACAGAGAAAAATGCAGTAGTGAAGATGCTGAAGTGGCAGAAGGAAGCTTGAGGAACAGTACAAAAGTTAAAAAACGATCCAGAGGCTTGAGGGATTGCGAGGAGGCAAAAATGAGAGCGAAAAGACAGCAGGTAGTGCCCAGAGGGAGAGGAGGAGGGCAAGACTCTGTTTACTTGGGTTTCGTTGTGAACTTGAACTTTTTACAGAAGGCTCTTTCCAGCTCAGGGACTGACAGAGTGAATGTGATCGCGCCATCTGAGTCCGACCGAACTACACGTGCTGGAAATACATACATGGCATGAAAACAGCAATACATATACTCCCTTTAATGTTTATTCAGTCAGGCTGCCATAAATGGATCAGAAGTGACAACTTCCTATTTAATATAAATGCTGCTCTTTTAAACTTCCATTCATCAAAGAACCATAAAATTATTAAGTAGCACAAATGCTTTCTACATTGCCAAAAACAAGAATTTGTTTCTCGAGCAGCAAATCAGCATATTAGACTGATTTCTGACAGATCGTGTGACACTAAAGACTCGTAAATTGTAATAATATTTGACAATATTATTTTTAATTGTATCTTTTACCAAATAAATGCCAAAAACATTCAAAAATCTCCCACAAACCGAACTGGTAGTGTACCTATTTCAGCAAAACCAGCATACAAACACACAGTTATGCATTTTTAAACAAATATAGGCAATTAGCATCAATAAATGTTAATTCTGAAATACACATACAAATACCAAACTCGACTGCATCTATCTCAGTGTGTGTTTCTTACCCAGATCATTGTTGTTCATCATGGCATTAGAACCACGCAAGCGTGGGCCCTGCTGGGTGAAGTGGTATCCAAACTTCAGCAGAGTAGTGTTCTTCTCCAAAATGTTAGCTATCTCCATCTCAACCTTATTACCTAAAGGCTGGCTCTGTATCACACATAAACACACAGGTTATAATAACTCTTTTCATTCCTTGCTACTCCTGTGATCAGTACAGATAATGGCTCAGACCTCATATGACTTTAGTCTGTGTATGTATGTGTGTGTGTGTGTGTGTGTGTGTGTGTGTGTGTACTCCTGTGATCAGTACAGATAATGGCTCAGACCTCATATGACTTTAGTCTGTGTATGTATGTGTGTGTGTGTGTGTGTGTGTGTGTGTGTGTACCTGGTTGTCAATCTTTAGCTCCAGCAGTGTAGTGTTGCTCTTTAATGATTCCACGAGCGCCAAAATTCCAGCTCCAGTAATGAAGTTTGACTCAACGTTTAGACTCTTCAGAGTGGTGTTCACTTTCAGCATGTCTGCTAGTGCCTGGGAACCAAACAACATTACACGTTGTTTAATACCTATACTACTGTTCAAAAGTTCAAAATTCAAATCGTTGAAAACAGCTGTGCTGCTAAATATTTTTGTGGAAACCACGACACATGATTTCAGGATTCTTAGAAAGCTCAAAAAGCATTTATTTGAAAAAGAACTCTTTTAATCCATTTAATGTATTCTTACTGAATAAAATAGTTCATTTAAAAAAAGTCAAATGGTAGAACAGTAGATGAATAGTGTACTTAGTGAAGTAAATCTCAGTAACAACATATTAGACATATTTCATCCAAAAAAACGCCATTGCAACATTTTTTATTCAAATCAGCCTAAAAGTAGTACTTTTTTGCCTTAAAATTAATGAAAATGTATTGAGAATGAAAATGCTTAATTGTTATAACAAGGTCACAACTCCAAAAATTATATATACAGAGTTCTGGCATGAAACTCTAGATGGCACAGTCTAATGGGTCTAGCTCAATCTGACCTGGTGACATCATTGTCACATGGCAGCTGATTGGTACTTCAGCATACGCTTTCAAAGTTGGGACTGGAATATTCTACAGATCACCAAAAAAACAGAGAGGACACATAACGGGGTAAACCATCAAAACATATATTTGTTTGCTGTAGCAGTTGGCAGCGCACTTCAAAAACTCTCCACCTTCCCCAGCTCCACCTGTATAGATCTGCTACGGATCACCAAAAAAACAGAGAGGACACATAACGGGGTAAACCATCAAAACATATTAAGACACTATGCAACAGAGAGTACAGTATAAATAAATGAGTGAAAGTGGCACCTTGATGTTGTTTAGGTTGACCTCAACAAGGTCTGGATCATTTCTCTTGATTCTCTGTAGTGTTTCCTCTACATCTGTGTCATTGGGCTGTTCGTCTGGCACTGGCTTATACTGAGTACACTGGATTACGCCTGTTTATATTATATAACTCTCAATTACAACAAATTATATGGTTCAGTGCCAGATATATAACAAAATACTATATCACATTGTAAAACTCTACACTGTATACATCTATTCACAGCAATCCCAAGCTACACTAACAAATGTATATGGCATTGCATTACATTTATTAACATTTTTACATTAATGTACTTTTTTTTTCTTCTTTAAATTCATGCATTCCCTGGGAATCGAACCCATGATTTTGACAATTCTAGTGACATGCTCTACTGTTTAAGCTACAGGAATTCTTTAGTTAATTAATTGCATTAATTTTTATAGAATGATAGCTCAAACACACTTTAAATCACCTGGAGACCAGCTGTTTAAAAGTAATTGCAATAATGGCTCAAACTAAGTATAGAAGGTTTAGCATCATTTGTCTGCAGACGCGTTTGACATTCAGGCATGTTTAAAGGAATAGTTCACTCAAAAATTAAAATTTGTTGAAAATTTACTCACCCTCAGGCCACCCAAGATGTAGCAACTGTCACTTCTGGCCAAAATACCAGTCCATAAACAATAACAATGCTTCATCTAGTCAAAAAGTCCATCCCCTGTTGTACTCTCATGTGAAAATCCACTTGTAAACGGTGCTTGATCTGAGAATATTTCTCTCCTGATTCAGACAAAACAACCTTTTCCACTGGAAACAGCAATATAGATAGAGGACTCGTATTTTTAGCCAAAAGCATAAGTTTGAAGTTAAAAATGTCTTTATGGATTTATTACACACGTTTAGCTTTTCATTAATTGATGGACTGGAGTCATTTGGATTACTTGTATAGCTTCATCCAGTGTAGACAGCATCACTGTCATATTGTGACGCTTGTATCAGCTGTTTGAACTTTCATTAAGATGGCACCCATTCACTGCAGAGGATCCATTTTTGTCTGGATGAAGAAACAAACTCATCTACATCTTGGATGGCCAGAATACATAAAAGACAGAGTACATTTTCAGCAGATTTTCTTTTTTCAGTAAACTATTCCTTTAAGTGTAATCTATAATTCGATCATAAATAATTATTCAGACAAATATAAAGCATAAAATCAAACAAACACATTACAGGACAACTGAATATTCACTTACTGTTCAAGCCCTGTTTGTTGACGATAGTACTGCTGGCCAGTGCTTCGTAATACTGCTGATTACTCATCAGTGTGTGCATGCCCAAAATGGCTTTTCAAATTTAGAAAGAGGGGAAAAAAGCATGTCAAAAAAGCATTTTAAGCATTTTATGTCAGTCAAGTTTTGAAAATGCACAACATATACATGTAAATCATACGTAAAATCATGTTTTCCAAGATACCAACTCAACATCATTCACATTTACCTGACGAAAAATATCTCAAGCAGAACAGTAATGCCATCAGATGAACTAGTGCAGAATAAAAAACTAAATTGTACAGCAAAACATCTGAATAGGGAGTCAAGAGGAAGTGCAATTTAGGAGTCTGGCATGTATACTGCATCTGATTGTTGACCCTGGGCCAAAGACAACTGAACTAACCTCATTCCCATATGAAGCTCCAATCTGTCTGTGCATATAAACTGTTCAGACTAAGTCGACTCCTTAAATCCTGCTGTCTTTGAAACATGATCCCAAATAAAAAAATTAAAAATTGACCTCATTTTAAACAAAACCTCTCTATCATGCTAAATGAGAGCAAGTTAGTGTCTGACAGTTGAGAGGTTTTTTTTTATCCAGCAGGAAAAACTTTGTTCCCCTTTTTTGGTAGCCATGTGTCTTTAGCGCACATGGATGAGTCATCATTGTTATGAAAGAAAAAGAGCTCAAACTCGCATACCCAGTTTCAAGAATTGACATGTGCACAGTTGCACGCCAGTTCACCTAAAAAAAAAAATGAATTATTTACCCTGTTGTTCCAAACCTGTATGGTTTAGTTTTTTTCCCCCTATGAAACACAAAACAATTTTGAAGAATGCTGCTGCTCTTTGTGGTATCTCAAAAGAGGAAAGATAGTCAAACAAGTTTGGAAGCAACACGAGGGTAAGTAAATGACAGAATTTTCATTTTTAGTAACCCTGAAATAACACTTAAATCATCATGCAGACAACATAATATGCTGAACATGCCATTCAAATACTGAACTAATGTTTAAGACGTTTTCTGGAAATGTTAGAGCAGCATACAATGTTACAAATAAACCTACTGGAATGATCCGTGGCTTAGAAACAATGGAGCAGGGGAGTGGACAGAGAAAATGAGGAATGAAGATGTAAAAATGGAGTGGAGAAAGCTAAAGGACAGACCAGAGAGAGGCACACGGTGAGATACACACAGGAAGGGGGAATTAGTCAATGAAATCACAGGTGGATTCACTCATTTGAATATGCATTCATATTAAAATTAGCGAACAGAAGGTGCTGAATTGAATTACATCCTGATACATTCATATTTTAAAATAACATTTATAAAATTGTGTTTTGGAATGGTGTTACATGAATTAAATTGCTAACATTTGTATTGTACCTGCTATATCGCACAATTCTGCGTCAGTAGCACTAGATAGCGCCTCCTCTAGTTCAGGCTCCAGAGTGACATCTTCCAGGATAGGGTCAACAACTTTGGTCTTAGGCATCCACATTTTTCCTACATACGCACATTTACACACATACCGAGATGGAGAGAGAAGGAAAAAATGCCTTCATTTATTTTTGACTGTCCTACATATGTGGCACCATTTCAACATCAAATTTTGCCTCTAAAACAATTTATTAAATGTGAGTGTTCTTGTTTAATGAGATGTGATATGTGAATAAATCCTAAAAGTTAATATCACTTCATGTGCATCATTTCCAGTGCCTATGTGTAATTTCACTGCGTTATGCAAAAAGTGTCAAATAGAAACTGTTTGTATTTAGGTTTCATAAAAGAGCTATGTAATTTCCGTTAATAAAATGTCAAACGCAAAGCTGGAAATGACAGTGTAGTGGCAATGTTTATAACTCAGGATAAAAAGACAAAAACTACATAATTTCTCCTGTGATGTACAGTGTATATATATATATATATATACACTATTGGACTTTTTAGTTGACAAATTACAAACTAATGAGAGTGTGAAGAGAGTTTATATTTCTCTAAAAGTTCCAAAAGTGCCCATGGTTCTAAAATGTAAGTCACTTCTTACCTCTTTTCTCGCCAGTGTAGGGAACAAGTTCATCTCGGTCTGGATGCTCTTTGGCCTCTTTCTCCAGGTGAGAGAGAAGGTTATCCCTCTGGAACGTTCCGGTCGGAGCTTTCTTGGTCTGATCCCTCTGTCTGAATCCTGCTGGCAACAGTGCGTTCTGAAAACAATATCATTTATGAACATTAGATCTGTCATCAAAATATCATAAAAATCACACAGAATGTAAACTAGTCCATTACAGTAAAATATAAACTTGCCATATCTGGTATCTTAAGTTAATACCATTACTGTACATGGTACAGGGGCCATTTTCCATCAATTTCCTCTTTGCAACTATTTGATACAGGCTATATGAGATTTCTGCACTTAACCCAGGTTTTCTCATTTGCACCCACTTACTGAAAAAGCAAACTCCACCACCGCCTTAAAAACAGAAAGCAATGATAACATTCTTCTAAGACAGGGCCTATCAGCCACAGAGCAAACGGGGGGATGTGTACGTATGTGCATGTTAAATGCGATGACAGAATCCAAAACACACAGCATTTCAGAGAGAACTCAGAGAGAACAGAGCTTTACCGGACACCTTAGTATTGTTTATTCTTAGTGCAGATAAAATTGAGCAAATGGAGACTCCAATTAATTCTAAAGTGACATTTAAAATCGTTAAAGTAGAGATTTCCACTACAAAATTTACAAGCACAATTTAGTGTTTCGGGAAAGGCTCTGCTTTGGTGGGGACTGTTTATTTTTGTTACACTAGAGCAGATTTAACTTTTGTTCCAGCACTAGTATTTATGGTAAACTTCTGCACCTCTCAGTTTGGGAGAATAAATAATTTTTTTCCTCCTCTCTGTTGCTGGACATTTAGCCTACCTCTGTGTCTAAATCTGTCAAGAAATGCTTAGATGCTGGAGTCAAACCAGATTCCTCAAGAGCAAATATAAAACTGTGGTCTGAGTGAGAAAAAGAACACTAACAGAGAGAACCACTTCATTCCCTATACTGCAATACAGCAGCGCACACTCCAACCCATGTAAAACAACACAGTCCTCTCAAACTCAGAAACGCCAATGTGATACAACACAGTCCAGACAAACAAAAACAACAGGAATTAAGTGGTCTTCTCAAACAATAATAGCAATGCTCAACACATAATAAACCAGACTAAGCAGCAACACAGTTGAGTCAAACAAACACCATGATTCGTAATAAAAACCCAGTCCAGCCAAACAAACATAACAATGAAACAGCACAGTGAAACACTGTAGAAAGTGGGTTTCATAAATAAATATGCCATTGAAACAACAACACCTAACAAATGATTGTACAACACAGTACAGACAGAAAAGCATTATACAAAAAAAAACCCACATCCAGTCAAACAAACATTATACTAAAAAAAAAAACACACTCCAGCCAAGCAAACATGACTATGAAACAATATAGTCCAAACAAACAGTAAACACAGGAATTAAGTGGGCTTCTTAAACAAAAATGGCACACAGTCCAAAATAAAACAATCCAGTCAAACAAACACCATTATGTCACTACACAGTAAAGACAAACAACACATTATACATAAAAACACAGTAAAGTCAAACACCAAACATTGGGAAATAACACAGTCCAGATGAAAAAATCCACACTAGGGAACAACAAAGGCCAGACAAACAAACCAAACTAGGTAGCAACAGTCCAGACAAACAAACACCACTCGGAAATGACACAGTCCAGACAAACAGTCCACATAAACAAACCAGACACATTTAAAATACAGTCCAGACAAACAAACATCACTACAGTGCAGACAAACAAACACCACTACGTGTAAAATAATCCAGTTCAGTCAAACAAAACAACAGCCTGATTAAACTAATCCCGCTACTAAACACAGGACATACAATAGGTCTCCCTTAAAAACGTTCACATATCTTATAGTCTAAATACAATATTTACAGATCAGAAACAGATCAGGTTTTGTTCAAAGTTTTTTTTAACCTTTCATATTGTAAAGTATTCCGAGACAAATGAACTGTGTGAGCACATAAACAAACCAGACACATTTAAAATACAGTCCAGACAAACAAACACCACTACGTGTAAAATAATCCAGTTCAGTCAAACAAAACAACAGCCTGATGAAACTAATCCCGCTACTAAACACAGGACATACAATAGGTCTCCCTTAAAAACGTTCACATATCTTATAGTCTAAATACAATATTTACAGATCAGAAACAGATCAGGTTTTGTTCAAAGTTTTTTTTAACCTTTCATATTGTAAAGTATTCCGAGACAAATGAACTGTGTGAGCACATTTATGAATCGGGTTTCATTTTATGGAGCTCTTAAAGTCCAATTTTAAGTGCACTTACATCAGGATCAAGCTCTTCGAGTTCATCTTCTAGCCTCCTGAGCTCTTCTTCACTGAGCTTCTGCAAGAGCTCATCCTCATCCACATTCCGGTACTTATCCATCTCTTTACAGAACATGGTGAATAAGATGTTATTCCCCCCAGCTCAAGATCTTGGTAAAGACAAGAGAAACAGATTCATTATTAGGTCTATTCTAAATACAAGGTTCAAAGGATTTGATGCTGAATAATTATGATGATCAATATGTCAAGTCTATGATTTTCCACAGTATTTCAGTGGATTATTCTTGCCAAATTGAAAGCATATGGGTTATGAGCAGAGTAGTACAGGTGTACTTCATCACATTAACTGCTAACATTTAACAACCAGATAAAGCACAAATACTTTGTGTTTACATCGGTCTATGCTTTACTATTTAAAACCTTTTGAATGTCTCTTTCCCAAATGTTTTGTTTGAAAACTGGACTTATGCTTGCTTTCTGTAAAATACATGCTAAATATATTTTAAAGAAACATACAGTATGGTCTTACACATTAGATGAACAGAGTAACTTATTATAATAGGCCTACATCTACACGAAAAGGAAACTTGTCAAACTGACGGCTGGCATCTGTTCTTCGCACCATCTCCATTGTCCTTGATGAATCCAATAGACAAGGACAATGCCCAGCAAAGCCTAACATACTATATAATGCAAATTTATTAACACACTGCCTTGACTTGGAGCCTCTAGTTTAGGTTTCCTGAATCAATAAACTAGTTATTATATACACATTTCTAGTTCCTCACACAAATTACTTTTTCACTACAGTTAATAAAAGTGCAATTAATGATTCTTGAATAAAGGCGTGTTGATTCTGACTAGGAGAGACCAGATACATAACTATTATATTAACATTAGTAAAATAAAGATAAAACATAGAAAATATATATCATACATTCACAACCTCAAGACAATTAATTATAGATCAAATATAGCTTATTTTCTCCGAGCTTCATCAGTCCTGTTAATATACATATTAGTATGTTTATGACTCTGCAATGAGGAAAACAAAGCGTTAGTACCGGAGCGCCTATTTTTCTCACTTACCTCAGACAGCGCTTATCCCACACTATATATAGCGCATGTGACAGCTGAATACTTTGACCAGATATGGTTTCTTTTCGGAGCCGCTAATTCACACAAATGTGCTGCTGCCTCAAGCAATGTATTCTCAAGTCCAAGGCTCACAGAAGAACAGCGCTTGACACGGCGGAGAAAGTCCAAATATTAAAAGCAGTTACTGCTACAGCCTTCTTTCACCAAGTCCAGTAGTCGGTGGTGATCAAAGTGTTTCCACAAACCCGGAGTAGCGCAGAACAATGGCCCCGCCCACCGTGCGGACCTGCCAATCAAATGACGCCAAACCTCAAGCCCACCAATCAGAGGATTGAATGGGTCCCACACCTCAAAGCTACATTTTTACCGATATCAAGCTGCAAAAACAAATGACAGTCACCCAAGTGTGTCTTGTTGTTGACTTTTTTAATTCTCCGAACCAATTGTCAACTTGGAAATAAAACAAACCTGAGCATCTGAACACAAATGTTCTATTACAATTAGGCCATTCTCTGTTTAGAAAACACACAATAAGATTGCAAACAAACCAGTGCAAAAATCAATAAGAGTATAAACAATACAAGCAGTGGTGTCTCACACAATACACACATAAAAATCAAATTACTTAGACAAATGGCCCTATTGTAAAGACACAGAAAGGAAGGTTGTTCAGGTATTAAACGAGTTAATTTTGGGAATGGCATATTATTAGTAGTATTATTTGTATAATGGCAAAAACAGGTAAAGAAATCAATTTTCCATGGCACTCAGAACGATAACAAACAATTCTTGATCATGCAAGAATAAAATGACCCACCAAACACATCTAGAGTCAATGCTCTTGAATTCTAGATTTCTTCAGACTCAAAGTTTCAGCATAGTTCTTGGAAAGGGAAGTGGTGACAGTCTCAAGCTGCTCTGTTGATCTCATCTAAAAACTCCACCACAATGTTGTGGATCCAGATGTCATTGTCCTCCTGTGTGGTGTCCACTAGGTAGACAGAGATTTTACGCTCCCAGGGCCAATCCCCCTCCTCAACGGACTCGATCTGAGCCACCAGCGGCTTCTTCTCAACATGGTTCCGGAACACCATAGAAGATTCCTCAGCCCAGACCCCTTGCTTGACACCTGAAAACAAACATTTCATATGCAAATCAGAAGCATCTACAGATACTGATCAGTTTTGAGGAATTTTGCAATAGGGCTGGGTGATACATCAAATATTTACAATATATTTGATACTTTGTTGACAACATAAAACCGACTCTGTATTAGAGCCCTGCATGGGCCTAAAATCTAGGCCCTAGCCCGGCCCTGGCCCGAGACGCTCAGGCCCTAGCCCGACAGCTTATCAGAATTCTCAGCCTGAGTCTGAACCGAGCCCTTCTTTTTTTCCCCATCTCCCAAAACAGCTTATACGACTGTTTCAGCTATTAAAATAGTTCAGCTATTAAAATAGTTCAGTTTTGTATGAAATGGCAAAGTGATTGTATTTCGTTTCATTATTTTATTAAGTTAATTTAGAAAAACGTTTGGAGCATTTTTTGTTCGTTAAATAAGTGATTGTATTTCGTTTCGTTATTTTATTAAGTTAATTTAGAAAAACATTTGGAGCATTTTTTATTCATTAAATGTAAGTTTTTGTTTTTGAAAGTAACGACCAAGCAGCCAGCGAGTTGATCTTAGCCTATGTTTGATCAATTTAGCCTTCTCAAATCATCACGACTTGTCTAAAATTAAATCTATAGTTATAAAACAGCTCCACAATGTTAGTTTAACGCTTAACCTAGATAAATGTGTGCTGACGCATATCCAATCGTTTGTGCAGAGAGTGGAAGCTGAAGTGCGATTTACAGGACATGGAGGCGCCAACTTTGAATTACTACTTTAAAACGAAATAATTCAAATCGAAAACAAAAACTCTTTCATTCAAAAATTCCTAAAGATGCATTTCTCTCTAAAAGCGCATCCAATGAGGAGATGGCGAGTCAGGATCATCATCAAATGCATGGATGATCCAAAATGCAACTTTTAGTAACTCCCCACGCTCCAACTCCTCCCTGATGCTCTGCATGGTCAATTGTCACCTGTATGCTAATGCGTGCGTATATGCGTTGCGTATTGCATACAAGGCGATGTATAAGATTTATAATATAATCAATATAATAATATTTCATACAGTAGCCTGTGTGTGCTCTGTGAGTATATGGGCACAATAAAAGGAGAAAAGCTAAATGAGCCTGAGTCCGACCCGAGCCCGATCTGTAAAAAAACAAAACAAAAAAAACAAACAAACAAAACAATGGCCTGAGCCCAGCCCGAATGGACTCAGGACCCGACGGGCTTGCAGACCTCTACTCAGTATCATTAATTTTTTTTTTTTACATTTTTTCTAACATTTTTAATTGGTTGTTAAACATACGAGACTATGCAAGCAAACTATTGTCATGATTAGTTTAAAATAAAAACACTTAAATTTAATTGGTTCAGAATCACTGATTCTACAATTTGTTTGCGCAATCATGTAAAACTGTTCACGGAAGTCCCTGTGTGGTATTAGTTAGTAAAAAAAAAAAAAAAAAATTCTGTGAAATATTACTATTTGTATTTTTGATCATAATGAATGACACCAGGAAAAGGCATTAGGCAAGTAAATAAGGTCCGTTTTGATTTCATGTTGACTTTACAGCTGCTCACAGAAATGTAACTACATCCGACCTTGAATACTAACCCACACAATTACTCTGGCACTTCAAGGTTCAGTTTCCTGGGTATGAGCATTACTCTGTCCTCCTCCACACTCTGGCACTCCTGTAAACAGACTGAACGGTGACTCATCTGTACAGAGGATCTAATACGATGGCTGATTAATCTATTGTTGCCCAAACCAGTTGGTGTGACATGTTGGAGGAGAATCACAGATTCTGTCGCTGACTGTTGTATCATGATGAAGGCATTGTCTCTGAACAGCACAGGTGGCATATCTCAGATGAATGGCTGACGTGTCAGTTCTGCTTTACTTTGCTATGGTCATTTGAGTGCCAAAAAAAATGTAAAAAAAAATACAGGAATGTATGTTTTAATTGATGGGTTTTTTTTTTTTTTTTTTT